CTCACCCCGAGGCCAGACGCGTTGGGAAGCAGGTTCTCCTCCGGAACCTCCACCTCATCCATGACGATCATGCCAGTGGCGGACGCTCTCAGGGAGAACTTGCCGTCGATCTTGGGGGTGGACAAGCCTTTCATGCCTCGCTCCAGGATGAAGCCGCGAATTTTCCCGTCATCACATTTTGCCCACACCACCGCGATGTCCGCCACCGGGGAGTTGGTGATCCTGAAGATGGGAGCAGCTTAGAATGACACTAATGCACGTTGGTAAAAGGTAAAAGAACGCTGATTTTGATTTGAAGATGAAATGCAAGTGTCCTTATTTGTGTCGCTGACATAGCTAACTATTCAGTGTCACATTCACACCTTTTTTTTTTTTGTGTGAGGAAGGTGCAGTAACGGAAGAAGTCAAGCACAGTGAGAGCACGCCATCGCCGCACGGAAGAGCCTCCATTGAGATTCGAATGCAAAATCGAATTGTGAATGCGAGGTAAATGTACATAAACACTGACGTGAATATGTATATTTTGGACCCACTTATGTAGATATTACACATGAGTCTGACAGTGAGTAGGTAGCTTGTGACAAATGCGTCTGTTATAACATCATTTCATGGCTGCCACCATGTGGATATTTGATAGCGTTACACTATTCAACAATGGCGGAGGTGACTTCTCATTGTTAATTGAAGCAGGCAAAAAGATCAGACATGATACAATGATTCATACGAATGGAATTTTATGGTCAAATATGTACAAAACCAGTTTTGACTTTCAACTTGGCACGACCTGTCTCAGGCCTTTCTGCTTGGAGCACTCCCCGTGATTACTTGTTTCATGAGTTTCAAAAGTAAACAGTCAATTCAAGTCTCTGGATTACCAAGTCCAAGTCAAGTTGAGTCTTTTACAAGCCGCACGCCCTGAAATTTGAGATACTGCACGATGCCACAGGGATATTTTCTCTGTAGCACTCACCACGTCTTGGAGCCAGTGAGGGAGTAGGTGCGGCTGGACGGGTTGTACTTGGCTCTAGTCTCCATGCTGCTCGGGTCGCTGCCATGGTTTGGTTCCGTCAGGCCAAAGCAACCTAGGATTTCTCCACGAGCTCAACATGGAAACGGGCAGCATTTTTGTCAATGTCGATTCAGTGTGTAGCAGTTTTCTAACTCGCCAGATAATACATAGATGGGCAAATTCCTCGATAGTGAGAACCAGTAATTCTTCATCTCGCAGCTAATTTGTTGCTATTACTCTACTTGGTCTTACCCAGCTTGGGCAGATACTTCTGCTTCTGCTCCTCGGTGCCATACGCATTGATGGGATGCATGACCAGTGACGACTGCACGCTCATGACCGAACGGTAGCCGCTGTCCACGCTTTCGACTTCTCGGGCGATCAGACCGTAGGCCACGTAGCTTGTCCCCGCACAGCCGTAACCTTTCCATCATGGACGGACGGGATAGGAAACAAATCATGCTGATTTAACAGATTAAAATGGAATCAAATCAGATTCGGTTCATGTCAGGCAACGTTTTTGGATTTTGAAAATGGCTGCCGAACAAGTAAAATGCTTCACCAAGCACGCGTGTGGGTCTCTCATGTTCACGTCCACAAAAGGAGATTATGTATTCACTCTAACCTTTGATGGTTGGACCAAGGACGCCCATCTCCCCCATCTCGGACACTATTTCTCTGTGGAACACTGAGAGAAAAATCACACAAGTGGTGTATGTTTTACACTGCAAAAGATATGTATCACACACACACAATTTAACTCAATAAACCAGAAGATAAACGAATTACAAAACAGAGATGAGTCTTGAAGATAACGAGTGCAGCTCATGGCTATGACTAGAATAGAGTTCATCACTGAGATATAAAACACTCAAGGACTACACAGTGCATGTGTTTTACCTTCATTTCTGTTTGCTAAAATGATGCGTGGCATCAGTTTGTCTTGGCAGTAGGTTCTAAAAGAGTCTCTGATCATGACCTCCTCCTCTGTCAGCAGGCCCTCCAGGTCCAGAGCATCGCGCCAGTTGAACTGGACTTTAGCTGTCAGCATTTAAAAGGAATTCACCAATTGTTACAAAATATATTTTTATCCCATCAACAAAAAAAAAAAAAATCCAAAAATGTTTCCACATACTTGCTTTGGTCTTTTCAATCTTCTCTGCATGTGAGAAAAAAAAGAAATCACCCCCAAAAAGTTATTGGTATGGTGATTGAGAAAGAATGCAGATACTGGTACACAGACACATTGTTCAAGTTAAACTTTCTCTACATAATAAAGAAAAAAAAACATACTTAAAACGTTTCTTCTTATGTATGCCAGGGCCCGAATTATTTGGATAATGACAATTTAAGATCTTTCACAACAATATGACATCTACCATTTAGGGATAGGAATTATTTCAGTTTCGAGGGGCTCCAAAATAGTTGGTCGGTTGGCATAAGTCAAGGTTTATAGCCATACTTTAATACTGGGGGGCTATCGCTACCATATCATTTTGCAGATTGAGTCTTTTCGTTATCGCATGGGCCTCGACTTTTTCTCTATATAGGCAGTTACTGTGCCCATGTGTGGTACTGTTATATAAGCGACATTCACATCTGAACCCCAAGATCGAGGTTCCGGTGTGGGTGCCTGTGTGTTTTTCCTCTGGCCACTGTGTTTTTCTTCTAAATTTCAGAAATATGAATGTTAGGGGAGCAAATTGTCTGTACGTGTGAAAGTGAGGGTGCATATTTGTTTGTCGGTACAGCATGTTCCCTGGTGAACAGTGTGTGCATGGTGTTTACTATCTCAACGATAACTTACCACTCCTAACAGGTGCTGCAGTCCCTTGAGCTCGTGCGAAAGAAAGGAGGGCACATCGCTGAGGTTGAGCCAAGAGGCGACACACGTTCCTTAGTGCCATGATATAGTGATTCAAAGTCTAGGAAGTTGGAATAGTTAGTCTGTGATATGAAACAGGCAAAAGAACTTGAAGGTGCAGCAGACTGAAGGTGGTGGCATATGAAATGTGTGTTTACACCCCGTTTAGCTGTGTCGATCAGGGCAAAGGGTGAATAAAAAATACATTGATAATTACAAGACTGGTGCAGCCAGATGCCATTATAATCATATTATTAAATGGAACGTCCAAAAGAAACACGTTCGGCTAACTCGGCTAACGTACTGCACTGTGATTGTTGCAAGTAGCTCACGACGCTAGCTCCGACCTTGGTTGTCAACAAGAGAGACGCATACTGTTTCGATGCTTAGTTGTCTAAATGTAAAATACGCAGCAACTTCGGTTTTGGATTAATATACCTGTCTTTAGAAGAAAAACGTTTGTCCTTATTCCACTTTTCAGTCTTGGTTTGACAGCGCGACCATTGACGTCATCACGCACGGACGTCACATGTTGTCGAGGCTAAACTTGTTTACAAGTCTTTTTTTTTTTTTCATAAAATGAGCTCGCTGCTTTGGTGTTAGGTTTAAGAATGCTCCAATAATGTGTGACTGACAAATAAGAATGAACAGACGTGTTTTTGGTGCATCCGTTACATGAGCTTTGCCACGTCAAGACAACAGCTTATCCTGGTTGGTCTATTAGCAGGGGCGTGACACTAACAGGAAAGGAAAGTCACTGACAGACTTTTTTTTTTTTTTTTTTACTAGCAGCACAGTGACCAATAACCTGAAATTTTAGGGACGCACACTGTATGTCACCTTGCGAAGTCAATATTCACTCCACTCATTTTCTCGATATTACTGATAAGTGGGCTGAAGGGTCGAGCAGAAGTTTGTCAACAACAGATAGGAATCGAAATATTTTCGGAAAATCTGCATATTTGCTGCTCACACAGGCACAAAAAATAAAGAAAAAATTACTTGCACTTCCTCAAATTTTAGGAGTATAATGATCCAATTTAGGGGCAGTCTGGAACGCTGCTTTCGCAACAGCTGCAGCTGTAACCAAGTGCTTTATGGAACACGTGACATTTTACGTCTCAATTTACAGGGTTTATATTATAGACAAAAACAACAGTGATCTTTCAAGTGTTACATTATAGACTATATAATGTAACACTTGAAAGATCACTCTTGTTTTTTGAACTGTCCATCCCTTGATTTTCTACCTCTTCTCTTCTTTCATGTCAATGGTGAGTTGGAGCCCAACCTAGCGGCCATTGAGGAAGCAATGGGATACACCCTGGACTACTCACCAGTTAGCTGCTAATCTTTTTCCCACTGCTCATAAACCATTACACTCACAATTTTAAATTGTATTCAATGTGGTTGTCACAAAGCTGCTGAAATAGGGCAACTGCATAGCTCTTCTCCCTCTGCAAGATGTCGTGACTCATAGTACAGACGAGTAAACCCATGCAATGGTAGTCCTGCGTCTACATTACAAATGAATAGTTTGTATGTATAATTAATGTTGCTTGGTGCTTTATGGGTCAATAAAACACAAGCCTTGTCACCCCTTTGAGGGTGGGGCCATTTTTGGTGTCAGATTACAGCAGAATTCTAACCATCTAAAATTAAAATAAATCTAATTTCTGGTTATGCTCAACCGCCGTTTTGCCATGCTCGATTGTGATGACATCAAATAGGAATTATTAAGAACGTGAACGAGAATGAGGGAAAAAAATGACAGCCACGGTACAGTAGCTCCATCCATTTCTGCTTCTGCCACTTAACGGTATTGTTATGAAGAAGCAAAACAACATTAGGTCCCGATTCCTGTTACTTATTGGTCGAGCGCCACGCCAATCAAGCTTCCGCGGTGTTGTGATTGGTCAGCATTCTTCTTGGAGAAATACCCCTTTAAACGGTAGTAGGGCAGTCAAGATTTTGGAGCGGACTTTTACCCCGTGTTCAAATGGGCAGAGGTCCGTGACGATAACCACTCCCAAGGCTGGAAATACACTCAAGTCGTCGCCTATGAGCCGTTTTGTGTGAAGAGAAACATTCAGATACCATGGAACTGGAAGAGAAAACCAAATACGGTAACTTCATTATTTTTATGCGCTGTTTAGATGTTCCGCATTTGCCAGCAGGAAAACGACTTTACATCAGCTCCTCCACACATAGCCACCCTTCAATTGCGTTATTCTTGAAAACAAGGTAATTAAATCTACGCGTTTAATGGGTTTTCATGACATGTGTTTGATTATTACTTCTACGAGCTAGCTGGCAACGTCGGACCACTTTCACTCGTGCCATCCTGCGTTGTATAGATATAATGATTGATAGTAAACAACACTTACAGGCTTGGAACTTACTGGCTACTACTCTTTAAGTGTACATACACATCGTTCACAATAAAATGCAAGAATAGAGAGTTTTAAATTGAGCTGGTGGTGTTGTTCCATCCGTGTTGTGGGGCGCCGGCTCGGTGTCCTAAAACAATATCCTTTTGCTTGTCCAGTTGCTGCCACATTCCTCACATTGGTATGGCAGGCAACTTAGCTGACGTCCAGCTTTGGAAAGAGTGCAGCACAGCTTATTAAAAAATAGCTTCAACAATGGGAGAAGGTCCATTTTTTTCCCCACCGAGCTGTTCTCTGCGCCTTTGTTCCAGTTCTTGTGTTGTTCTGCTGTAATTATACCTTCCATTCCAGTGCTGTGTAGTATCACAAAGATGCACATAGAAAAAAGAAAGAGATTCTTGTTGTCTTGTTTTTTTTTTTTTTTTTTTTTTTTACATAATACATGCCCACAATCGTTTAATGTGTGCGTTTTATTTCATGACGAAAATAAATACACAGGGTTGTATCAAGGATTCAGATATGCGTTATTTGTGCTCACTGACACATTGGGGAGTGACATAATTGTCAACGGTGATTTGGCTGCAAATTCCTTGGAAGAGTAATTGTTTTGAGTCATCTTCTAAAGTCACATGGTGCAACACGATGCATGCAGGCCCGAGATGATGACTGATGATTACATCGACACTGTCTTTATTCAGATCATTTTCATAGGAAGCAATAACTAGGGAAACTTGTAGTTTCCAAGTCCTCAGTTTGGATATTGTTGGGGGAAGAGCGGCCAATATGGATTGTGTTAACAGCATTTTGGAACAATTCACTGATACGAATCATCTGGTTTGTTTCCCTGCTATACCCCATCCGATCTAAAAATGTGTATTTGTCTACGAATTCAAAGAACAAATGAAAAACAAGGGCGCCTTCATGCTTAAAGTTCACATTCTCTGGTGTGACTCGCTTGATTGGTTTCTAAACTTGGGTCGACTTCTCTGTTTCATTTCTCACAATGAGAACATCCGATCAATCTGTACGTAATTCACCTCATGGGTGCGAAACCAAAGATGTGGTTTGGTAGCTTAGCAAGCTCATCGTTTTACGCTGCAGTTGCATCATTATGGCGGCCGATTGGGGTTAGAGTTCGTCTGAGTTTGTTTGGAACGTTACAGGATTGTTTTGGTCTGCGCTTAAAGTGAAAAGATACCATACAAACCTTGTCAAGTGCATTCAACAACGGTTGCTCTCATGGCAGTAGCTGAGCTTTGTGTTTTCAAAGGGAACAGCCACTATGAAGTTCTGAACATAGAGCACTGAGATGTAACGAAGACGTTACAAAGCGAGCTCTATAACATGTAGTCAATGATGATGCGGTCTAATAGAGATGCTTTGGGTCATTGAAACACACAATGCTATCACAGTATTCCCCCATGTTTTATTCACATCGACATTAGATATGTTAAAAAAGCTTTTTAAAAAGTACTGGGGAAGAAATAGTTAAAGCACACAAAACCAAAATGGAATCTCCAGATTTATTGTGAGTGGAAAAGCTTTCGAGGTTTGAGTCGAATGACTTTTGTTGCCTTTGGTCTGAAGAGCGACAGAAACTGGCCGTTTTTTTACACTCAGATGGAAAACTGCGAAACATACTATCCGCAATGTTGAGCAAATCTGGAACTTGCCACTGAGGAAAGCTCTTCATTGGTTCTGGACTGTGGGCTTCACATGATGGAGTCATTTCAGTTGTAAAAGAAAAACACGCACGCACCACAATGTCAGGAACTGAAGCAGCCATGCCCTGCTTCACATGAGCTGTAATTAGAAGCCATATTTAGAAGAGTGCTTTGAAACATGATTCAAATTCTTTCTGACCGTTTGTTCAAAGCTTTCACATGCAGCAGATTTGCGCTTAATTCTTTTTACTCTTTGCTGAGCTTCGGTATCATCTTTTTTTTTGATTTTTTTTACCCACTGATCATAAACAACCAAGGATGTCTCCAGAGTTGTAGCCATCTGTTTCCATTTTAACCTGCCGGGTCCTCGTTTTAATAACCCAGACAGGATCATGTGAGTTTGCTAACTGAGTTTCTTGCCATCTGGCTAAGCATGACAAATATACGCTGTTAAGGTCAGTCATTCACATGTTTGAGTACGAGTAGTTTGTTTTGTTTTTTCCTGCAGGCCATATCTCTTCTTCATATGACTTTCAAAATACAGATATACAGATTTGACTTTTCTTGGAACTTGATTGATTCGTTTTGTTTTTTTTCCCCCCAGTTTATGAGACATTGACGATGAGATAGGAATAAGACTAGAGATGTTCAGTCCATCTTATCCTTAAAGAGACAACACTTTAATGTCTTATTTTGGTAGGTGGGCCCAGAATTGGAGGTGCAGTATGTACCAAACACATCTTGACCCCTGGCCAGCTAACACTGGACCCAAAGATAACTAGAGAGAAAAATGTGCACCCAATTATAACTGTGACAATTGCAAAAATGAGTACAGGCTAGTCTGGCAAAGCTTAATTTTAGATAGCGGGGTGTGCTTTACATTGAGAACTATAGATAGATCTTGACCCGGCCCCCGCAGGCAGGCAGGCACAGTTGGCACTAAGATCTGAACCACAGGATTTTTTTTTGTTCCCATTGGTCTTGAGTCCACTCTTTACACTCTGTAATCAATCAATCAAATGAAAGCCTTTCCGCAGATTAGCCTCCCGGTTTTTCCTCATTAGGCTCCCCACGTGTTCAAAAGCGATGCTTTGAGTTCTCTTTGTAGTGTGTCAAGGAAGATCATATAGAAAGTTATTTTCAGAAATAAACAAACATACAATAATTTTACTGTTGATTTTTTTTTTTTAATTTACAATATGACTTTGCCAGATTGAGGAATTTGGGGGATTTTTTTGAGGTGCCTTAATAATCTGAATTTAATCAACCAAATAAATGGTTTCGCAACCTCCTAGTGACTGTTTGTGTTTCAGGCCAATAATTCGACCCAAACTGAACATGCGGAATGAAGTGCAATAGATTTCATTCAAACGCTGACAGCCCGAGCTTGACAAACACAAGTGGAATGAAAAAATATTTGTGTTACTTTTGTTAATTCCATTGATTCCATCTTTGTGTTTCACTCCACGAAGAGTGTCATGTATTGTGCTTTCCGATTAATGCGATTTCACAGGTAGGAAATGCCATCTGCAAACCGAATAATTAAATTCACTTTTTTACAAGATGTTTAGCTTCAAAATGTGGAAATGGATTAGCTTCCTGTGGAGCGCTTTTAGCAGATTAAAACTGTTATCAGAGCCGCCACTTTGCATCCCCTTAAATGTGCCATTACAAATGCCACTCGAACCCTCTTTTTTTTTTTCTTTCATTGTTTTTATTTGATTCAGCGGATGACTGTTGTAACTCCTATCGTGCTGCACGAGAGGGGTTGGCGCTGCAGCGAAGGCCATTTTTGAACCGGTCCATCCATGTGCCGGTCAATTGCTCACCAAAACAAAACGAATGGAAAAGTACAGTCATGTTCCGTGATGTCATCGTCTGTTCTAAATATGCATTTGGGCATTTAGTCACACTGTGGGCTCTTTGTTCAAATCGCAAATTCATCCGCCGTCCTGACTTGACTGCTGATTACAGAGATTCGGCTCCACAATATCCCACAAATCAAGGCGCATATCAAAACACTGAGATTTTAACATCGGAGCGTGTCCAAATGTTCCAAAGCAAAGTAAATGGAGTACTGTTTAGTCTGTTCTCCGAAGGACAGACACCAACTACCAGTGGAGTCCGCATTTGCCCTGGTTTTCAGAAAACATGTGTTTCTCATCACATCGGCTCAACTTGTTCTTTTTCCGTTCCCGCTTTTCTGCACCAAAAGTTTCCACCCCTTCTTTCACACGGACACGCCTCTCCCCTGTGTCCCTCCCAGTCTTCCCACAGATGAGTTGACTCGCCTCCTCTGATCTCTGGAGGCCAACAACAAGAAGCCAGTGAGAGAGAGGGCGAGAGAGAGGCTTCTTTTTTCGAGTTGAGAGGAGGAGATACACAGGTGGCACACCGATTGGGAAAAGACACTTGTTTCAGGATAAACAAGGTGGGGAAGGGAAGGGGGGGGGGGCGAGAGGAAGGTGGTGCGTTGTCGACGGGCCAGGCTAAGGAGGACAGGTTAGACTGGTTTCTACCCACGCGGGGCCTTACCCGTCCTCGCCTTTCTAAAAGAAACGACACCCGTGGAAAGAAAGCGACAGATAAGCGTCCTTGGAAGGAAAGCCACAAGGGTTGTCTGCACATTTCAACATTAGCCTCAGGAAGGAATTTCAAGATGCCAGAGGAAGGCCAATATTATGGAAAACATGGTAACTACCCTTCCGGCTCAAGTTTCGCCTTCGCCTCCCAGCATATTTTTCATCTGTATGTCTTTGAAAATGAATTGCGTCGCAGTGATTCAAGGTTGGAGTAGCACTGCTAACGGCATGTCCGCTTTGTGTACGGGCTTGCCGCTGATTATCCAGGTGTGAACAGGAGGAGGGAGCCTCACCCCTTTGTTTTGCTTTCTTTCATTTGAACACTTGATGTTCGACTCCCGACGAACTGAACGCTACCATTTCAAACCGATGTAATGCTTTGAAACTGTACAGAGACCTCCGGATTGGGTGAAACCTAGGCCGCTCTGAACTTTGAAGAGTATCGTCTGAAAGTAACAAACACTGTGACATCCTTGCATGCGCTGACAACAAGAAGCACTCACAATGTTTCAGGAAGTGGTTTCTCTAAGAGCCACTCTCATAAATGCTCTTGCAGCATTCATCCCCTTAAAAGCATCCGCAATTGAGATGCAAAGACTGCTGTCGCTTGTCTAGACGCCGTCCTATATATTTAATCAAATCTTGTTTTCTAGATTTTCTGATCTCATCACCTCGCCACAAATGCAGTTCTCTTCATGCGCGAGTTAAAACCCCGCCTCCACTGTTCGCAAATATGAAACTGAAACTTGCCAAAAATAGTGTTCTCTTCAAATTTGGGACTTGAACGGGGTAGTGATTTTTAAATTGGTGCCGTTGTTCAATCCAGCTTCTTTCATCTTGAACAGTTGGCAAACGTAAACCGCCTGTCCTTTCTCAAGAGCGCTTAGAAACAGTCATGCATGCCTTCGGCACATCTCGTATGGATGATTGTAATGCACTTGACTTTGGAGTTAGCCAATCCTCCATGAAGCATCTCCAGTTGGTCCACAACGCTGCCGCTCGCCTCTTGATTGGTACTCGTAAGAGGGAGCGCATCACTCCTACTCTGGCATCTCTTCACTGGCTCATTTGAAGTTCTTTTGAAGATCCAGTTTTTGTTTTTTTTTCAATCTCGAAATGGCCTTG